GTTCTCCAGGGATTTGAGGTATATCCAGTAATGAAAGGACTCACCCAGCTCCCATGCATTTGGTGAGGCCGATCTTGATTCTGTAGTGCCCTGCTAACAGTTTAGGTCCAGACAGTCTGTGTACAGAACGCGGACCTGCCCCAGGCCATAAGTTTCCTTGCTGAGAAAGCAAGCATGGCTTTCAGGCCCTCTACTCTCTCTGTGTGCTCACAATGTTGGTAGCTCCTATGCTCGCACCTGCAGCAGTTCCCGTTCGCCCCCTAGATTCTGCTCGAGAATGTTTGTGCCCAGTCAAAATTATTACAGAATTCAGTTAGAAGCTTCTTTCACCCTGTGACCACTCACTAATTCTGCTGGCTGTCTTCACTGAGGGCTCCTGTGAGATATAGTCAGGTAAGGCTTTCCTGGGTTTAAGCTGGAGACTCTGAGTGCCTACAAGATTCTTCCCCACTGCTGCTGCTATATTTCATGGGGCTCCTGAAATCTGTTCCAGCTCTAGGCAAGGTTAAATCCTTCTCCTGTGATCTGGAATTTTAGATTCCCCAGTGGGAATGTGTGTTTGGAGGCAGATTTTCACCCTCTCTCACTTTGGAAACTCACCTGTCTCATGGAATTTGCAGCTGCTCTCCGCTACCATCAAAGGATCTGTGAATTCTTTTGGTTTTCCTGGTATGTTCCTGTAGGGGTTCTTGGAACAAAAGTTCACAGTGTGAGTCTCCACATACTGTTCTGTCTGTCCAAGTGAGAGGTGCATGTTAGCCCTGCTTCATATTTGCCATTTTCCTTCTATCCTTGAATGAGTCTTTTAATGTGCTGTTGAATTTAGTTTCCAAGTATTTTGTTGAGGACTTTAGCATCTATGTTGTATTAGACCATTTTTGCATTGCTATAAAGGAATATCTGAGGCTAGCTAATTTGTGAAGAAAAGAGGTTTTATTTTTGACTTATATTACTGCAGGGTGTACAGGAAGCATGGTGCTGAGATATTTCTTGTGAGGGCCTCAGGAAGCTAACCATCATGCCAGAAGACAATGAGGAGCCAGCATGTCATATGGTGAAAGTGGGAGCAAAAAAGCAAGTGGGGAGGTACCACAAAATTTTAAACAACCAGTTCTTGCAAGAACTCACTCACTATCACGAGGACAGCACCAAATTATTTATGAGGGACTGCTCCCATGACCCGGTAACTTTCCACCAGGCCCCACCTTCAAACTTGAGATTACATTTCAACATGAGATTTGGAGGGGACAGTCATTCAAATGTAATCTGATTCAGTTGATAGTGTCTCAAGTTCCTCAGATTTTCTTCACTATTTTTTATTCTTTTTTTATCTTCTCACTGGATAATTTCATAAGATATGCCTTCAAGTTTGCAGATTCTTTCTTCTATTTGATCATGTCTGCTGTTAGAAGCTCTCTTTTACATTTTTATTTTATTCATTATATTCTTCAGTTATAAAATGTTTGTTTGGTTGTTTTTTGATAATTTCTGTCTCTTTGTTGAGCTTGTTTATTACTTTCCTGAGTTCATTGAGCTCTCTGTGTTCTCTTGTATCTCACTGATCTTCCTTAAAATAATTATTTTTAATTCTTTTTCAGATAACATATATCTCCATTTATTTGAGATCACTTACTGCATAGTTACTGTGTTTCTTTAGTGGTACCATATTTCCTTGATGTTTTCATGTTTCTGACAGCCTTATATTTATATGTGTGCAGTCTGTGGTGGCTATAGTGACTAGGGCTGTTGTGGTCCTTGGTGGTGCTAGCTGCTGGGTTCCCCCTGCACTCCTTTTCTCTCATGGGGGAATATTCCAGCCAAGGTTATTCCTTTAGGTACTGGTTGTGGCATGCTGGCATTCACACAACTGTAGCTGTGGTGAAACTGGGATTGGGGTGAGGTACATGTTCAGTGACTGCTATGGTTTGAATGTGGATGTTCCCTTCAAATTTATATGTTGGAAATTAATACCCTATGTGATAGTATTAATAAGTAGGGCTTATCTGAAAGATATTAAATAACGAGGGCTCTGCCCTCACAAATGGGATTAGTGCCCCCATAATAGAGATTGAAGGGAATGCACTTATTCCTTCTGCCATGGAAGGGTGCTGGGAGAAGTTACCATCTTTGAAGCACAGAGCAAGCCCTCATTACAGACTGTATCTTCTGTTGCCTTGGTATGTGACTTTCCAGAAATGTAAGCAATACATTTCTATAATTTATAAATAATCCAGTTTAAGGCATTTAGTTATAGCAGCCCAAAGAGGCTATGACAGTGATGGCGGTGCCAGTGCCTAGGGAGTAGTAGCAGATCAAAGGATCTGTGGTTAGATGTGCACAGAACTGGTGTAGCATCTGGGGACTGGGGCACAGACGTACTTGCTGGGGTAGTGGTGCCAGTGATTACAACATGGTCTTGTTTACATCATCTACAGAGTTCAGGGTGGGTCTCTAGGACATTACACAATGACTTAACTTAATGGGAAAGGGATATAACAGTAACACAGATCCAGCAATGACAGAATCAAGAAGAGGCCTGGGCTGTGGGTCTGTGGTGCAACTGTAGTATGGCCCCAAGGGTAGCTGGTTGTAGCTGCAACTCAGACCCCAGGGAGTGGGACACAAAGCAGTGGTAGCTGTGACTTAGGCCCCAGAGTATAGAATCTAGAGCAGTGGCAGCATAACCCCAGTGACGGTTATTCAAAGCCCTGGCTCAAGACCCAGGGGCCAGGGCACAGAGTAGTGGGAATGCATCCTCAGTAACAACATGTGAAAGCCCTGATTTAGGACCTAGGGGTGGGGTACTGAAGAGAGGCAGTGTCAGTGGAATCGGCGAGAATATGACTGGTCAAAACCCTGACTCAGAGACAAGCATCAGCAAGATGGCAGAATAGGACTCTCCAGCACTCCTTCCCTTACAGAAACGTCAATTCAAATATCCCTCCATATATGAAATGACCTTTATAGAAGCTAAGGAAACCAAGTGAGAAATTACAGCTCCTGGCTGTAGTACAGAATTATGAAAAGATGCATTGATAAGAGTAGGAGGAACAGTCAGTTTTACATTGCCCATGTCACCCCTCCCCCAACACCAGGCATTGTAGCATGGAGATAAAGACGGCAATGGACACCAGACTTTGCCTTGGACACCAGCAACAGGCTTGTATCAGTAAAACACAATGCAGAGCAGGCCCCCACATCCCTAGACTCCAGGTCAGTACCTGTGGACTAAGCCTCCAAGCTCAACTGCTCCAGCAGCAGGCTGCATCCCACAGTCCTAGGCTACAGACCTATACAGCATACTTGATCTCCAGGCTGCCTTACTATCAGGACAACCTCAGGACCCTCAGGTTCTGGACTGTCCTCAATGTTGAGCTCACCTCAGTGGTCCTAAGCTCTCAGCCACCCCCAGCACCAGATTGGCTCTTGCAGCCTTAGTCATCAAGCTGGCATGTGTGGATACAGGTTCCAGGTCTGCTCACTACCAGGCTAGCCCCTTCACCCCAGGTTCAAGTTGATACCTGCAGATACCACCTGAAAGCACACCCTGTTATCTGGCAGGATCCTCTAGCCCCAGGCTCTAGGCCTCCCTAGTGCTAGGCCACCACCAGCAACTCCAGGCTCTAGACTATCCCCAGCCCCAGACAGGTCCTTGAAGCTTCAGGCTCCAGAGCCACCCCAGGGCAAGGCCACCCCTAATGATACTAGGATCAGGATTGTCCCCAGCACTTGGCCAGTTTTCATGGCCGTAGGCTTGAGGACCATTCCTGTGCTGTATTAGCACCCCTAGCCTCTGACACTAGGCAGGAACTCAGAGACATAGGCTCTAGGCCTGTACAGTGTTAGGACAGTTCCTATGGTCTCATGCTCCACCGGACCCAGGGTTTAGGACTGTCCCAGTAGACACGACTACTGGATTGGCCTCCATGGACCCAGGCTCTTGGACCACCCATGTATACCCAGGACCCAGTCTGGCCCCAGAACCCGGGCCAGTCCTTGAAGACTTAGCCTCTAGACAAGAACATATATACTCAGCCTCCAGCCAGTATCTGCAGACACAGACTCCAGGTCTCTCTCTACAGCCCCAGGATCCTGGTCATTTCCAGTGGCTCCAGGTACCAGGCCAGTGCCATAATCCTAGATTTCAGACCAGCTCCTACAATACCAAGCTCCATGCTGGCCCCAGGATCTAGAGAACCCAGAGTTCAGGCCTGCTCCAGCAGACCCAGGGTCCTTTCTCACCCCAGTACTGAGTCAGACTCTATAGACTGAGATGCTGAGACAACCCTGACCTAGGTTCCAGGCCCATCCCAGTGGTCCCATGTGCCAAGCCTCTCTCACCACCAGGCCAGTTCCTGTGGATTCAGGCTCCAGATCCCAAATATAAAACCTAATGTTACATGTCAAGAAGCTAGGGGAAAAAAAAAAAAAAAAACTAAGCCCAAAGTTAGCAGAAATAAGGAAATTATAATAAAGATCAGAGCATAAATAAATGATGTAGAAACCAGAAAAAAAAATATAAAAGATGAGTGAAACTAAGAGTTGGTTTTTGTGAAAAGATAAAATTGATAACCTTTAGCTAGACTCAGTTCTAAAAAGGAGAGAAGACAAATCAGAAATGAAAGAGGAGACATTACAAATGATACCAAAGAAATACTAAAAATCATGAGACTACTGTGAACAATTATATGCCAAAAACTGGATAATCTAGAAAAAAACTGAAAAATTCCTAGACACATACACTTAACAAGACTTAATTACAAAGAAATAGAAAATCTGAATAGAGCACTAACGAGTAAGGAGATTGAATCACTAGTAAAAAACTCTCCTATCAAATAAAAGCCTAGGACATGATGGCTTCACTGTTGAATTCTACCAAACATTTAATGGAGGAGTAATACCAGTCCTTCTCAAACTCTTTTCAAAAACTGAACAAGCAAACACTTTCAAGTGCATTTTACAGGGCCAGCATTACCATGGTACAAAAGCCGGACAAGGACAAGGAAAGAAAATTACAGGTCGATATTCCTGATGAACTTAGATGCAAAAGTCTTCAACAAAATACTAGCAAACTGAACTCAATAGCACACTAAAATAATCATTTACCCTGATCAGTGGGATTTATCCAAGGGCTGGAAGGATGGTTAAAAATATGCAGATCAATAAATGTGACATAAGACATTAGCAAAAGAAAGGACAAAAGCCATATGATCATTTCAATAGATGCATAAAAGGCATTTGACAAACTTCAACATCTTTTTATGATAAAACCTTCAAGAATTTAGTTATACAAGAAATGTACCTAAACATGGTAAAGGCCATATATTAGAACCTGATATTTAACATCATATTCAATGGTGAAAAGCTCAAAGCTTTTCTTCTAAGACCAAGCACAAGACAAGAATGCCCACTCTTAACATTTCTATTTAACATACTACCAGAAGTTCTACCCAGAGCAGTTAGGCAAGAGAGAAATAAAAGGTATCTCAATTGAGAAGGAAGAAGTTTAATTGTCCTTATGCTATAATCTGGATGTTTCTTCCCCCAAACCTCATATTGAAATTTATTTCCCAATGTTGGAGGTGGGTCCTCATGGTCGATATTTGGGTCATGGGGTCAGATGCCCCATGAATGATTTGGTGCAGTCCTTATTATAATGAGTGAGTTCTCACTCCATTAGTTCCTGCAAGAGCTAGTGGTTACAAAGAGCCTGGTACCTCCGTTCTCTCTCTTGCTTCCTCTCTTGCCATTTATCTAGCCTTCCAGTCAGCTGAATTGTGAGCCAAATAAACCTTTTTTCTTTATAAATTACCCAGTCCCAGATATTCCTTTATAACAACACCAAAGGACTAAGACCCTGTTTGAAAACATGATCTTATGTATAGAAAACCCTAAAGACTATACAAAAATCTTTTAAAAGTAATAAATGAATTTAGTAAAGTTGCAGAATACAAAATCAGCATGCAAAATCAGTGTTTCTATATACTAACAAATAGTGAACTATCCAGAAATAAATCAAGAAAATTATTTCATTTAAAATAGCTACTATAAAAAATACTTAGAAATAAATTTAGCCAAGTAAGTGAAAGATCGGTACACTGAAAACTTTAGAACACTGATGAAATGGAAGACAGAAACAAATTGAAAGCTATCCCATTTTTATGAAATTGAGATAACTCATATTATTAAAATGTCCATACTACCCAAAACAATCAACATATTCAGTACAATCCCTATCAAAATTTCAGTGACACTTTCCCCAGAAATAAAAACAATCCTGAAATCCATATGCAATTAGAAGAGACTCCGAATGGCCAGAATAATATTGGCAAAAAGAAGAAAGACAGAGTCATCACATTACTTGATTTGAAAATCTATTCCAGTGCTATAGTAATAAAAAATCTTGGCACTGGCATAAATATATATACACAGATGAAGGGAATAGTGGAGTCCAGAAGCAAATCCACATATTTATGGTCAATTGATTTTTGACCATAAATGTTGGCAAAGGTGTAAATAACATATATTGGGGAAAAGATACCCTCTTCAATAGATGGTACTGGGAAACTGGATTTACACAGGCAGAAAAATGAAACAAGCCTCCTATTTCTCACCATATATAAGAATCAACTTGAAATTGATTAAATACTTGAAATTTTAAGACTTGAAACTGTAAGACCTGAAACTATAAAACTACTGGAAGAAAACATAGGGATAACACTTTAGGACGTTGGTCTAGGCAAAGATTTGAATGGGTAAGACTTCAAAAGCACAGGTGACAAATACAGAAATAGACAAATAGGTCTATATCAAACTACAAAGCTTCTGTACAGAAATGATCAAGTGAAGAGAAAATCTTTTAAATTGGAGAAAATATCTGTAAACTATTCACCTGACAAGGGACCAATATCCAGACTCTAGGAACTAAACAAAATACTGTTACTACTACTAGTACTGCTACTAATCTCATTAAAGAATGGGCAAAGAAAAAGGGAGCAGAGCAAGATGGCGGAATAGAAGGCTTTGCCAATCATCCCCTTTGCAAAGACATCAATTTAACAGCTATCTACACCGAAAAAAGCATCTTCATAACAATGAGAAATCAGCTGAGCACTAACAGTACCTGATTTTAAATTCATATCACCGAATAAGGCACTGAAGAGGTAGGACAAACAGTCTTGAATTACTGACACCACCTGCCCCCCATCCCTCTGCAGCAGTGGTGTGGTATGGAGAGTGTTTCTGTGCTCTAAGGAGACAGAGATGGCAGCAATTGTGAGGCACTGAACTCACTATTGCCCTACTATAACAGAAAGCAAAATGAGATGAAATTCAGCTGACACCCACCCATGGGGGGAGCATTTGAAACAGCCCTAGCCACAGAGGAATAACTAATCCCAGCCATCCAAACTTGAGTTCCCATAAGGCATGCCACCATAAGCTAAAGTATTTTGGGACCTTACATAAACTTGAAAGGCAGTCTAGGCCATGATGACTGCAACTACTAGAAATGTCCTAGTACTGAACTGGGCCCAGAGACAGTGGATTTCCTGAGGGGTAGGGGGCATGTAATATACTGAGATACCAGCTGGGGTGGCAGAGGGAGTGCTGGCATCACCTTTCCCCTAAGCACAAGCTGTATAGCTTATGGCTCAAAAAAAAAAAAAAAGACCCCTTCCTTCTACTTGAGGAGGACTTAGTCTTGCATCTTGAATACCATCTCAGCCACAGCCAAATAGGGTACTTGTCAAAGTCATGAGGTCTCCTTTCCATAAACTCCTGGATGACATTTCTAGACATACCCTGATCCCAAAAGGAACACACTACCTTGAAGGAAAGGACCCAGTCCTCACAGGATTCATTACCTGCTACCTAAACAGCCCATGGGCCCTGAATAGCAATACCTAATACTACACTTATAACCTTGGGTGAGACGCTGAAACTTGCTGACCTCAGGTGAGACTCAGCACATTCCCAACTGTGGTGGCTACATGGCAAGCTCCTGCCTGAGAAACGTGGATGGAAATTTAAATGGAACTTTGTCTTGTACCTTTTTGACCAGAGGGGGATAGAGCACCAAGCAGGTACTTGGGGTGCCTAATTCCAGGACTTGGCTCTTGGATGTTATTTTTTTATCTACTTTGGGCCAGAGAGGAGCCAGCTGTCCTGAAGGGTAAGTCCTAGGTCAGACAGCATTCATCACAGGCTGCTAGAAGAGCCTTTGGGCCTTACGGGAATACTGGTGGTAGTCAGACAATACTTTCCATGGGCATCAGGTGGCAGTGGCCATGGGGAGAGACTTCTCTGATTTTGGAAAGGGGTGATTTGATTTGGGAAGGACTGTGTCTTACACTTTGAGTGCCAGCTCAGCTGCAGTGCGATAAAACACTAGGTAGACTTCTAATGTCATTGACTCTAGTCTCTGGCTCTGGATGGCACCTCTGGACAAACCTGGGGCCTGAGGGAACTCACCACCCTGAAGGGAAGGACACAGGCCTGACTGGCTTTGCTACCTGCTGATTGTGGAGACCTAGGGCCTTGAGTGAACATAGGCCATAGTCAGGGATTGGCTGCAGCAGGCCTTCAGCAAGACCCAGTGCTGTGCCGGCTTCAGGTCTAACCTAACACAGTCATAGTGGTGGTGGCCACAGGGACACTTGTGTCACTCCGCCCCCAGCTCTATGTGGCTCAGAGAAGAGAGAGGGACTCCATTTGTTTTGGAAAAAGTCAGGGAAGAAAACAAGGGTCTCTGCCTGGTAATGCAAATAATTCTTCTGGATCTTTTCTAAGACCATCAAGGTAGTACCTCTATGAGGCTGCAAGAGCCATAGTGTTACTGGACTTAGGTGCCCCCAAAGTAGGTGCGGCATAGATCACAACACTCAAGTCCTTTCAAGTATCTAGAAAAGCTTCTCAAGAAGGATGAATGTTAACAAGCCCAGACAATGAAGACTACGATTAACAATGAAGAACATCTAGAAGCATCGCCACCATCCAGTAAATAATTACCTCACCAAATGAACTAAATAACAACCAGGGACCAATCCTGAAAAAATAGAGATATATGACCTTTCAGATAAACAATTGAAAATAACTGTTTTAAGGAAACTCAAAGCCATTCAAGGTAACTCAGAGAAGAAATTCAGAATTGTCAGATAAATTTAGCAAAGAGATTGAAATAATTTAAAAAATCAAGCAGAAATTCTGGAGCAGAAAATTGTAACTGGCATGCTAAAGAATGGATCAGAGTCTTAGAATTTATCAAACAGAAGATAGAATCAGTGAGCTTGAAGACAGGGTATTTGTAAACAGAGGAGACAAAAGAAAAAAAACGAAACATGCCTAAGGACCTAGAATATAGTATCAAAGGGCAAATCTAAGAGTTTTTGACATTAAAGAAGAAGTAGAGAAAGAGATAGGGTAGAAAGTTTATTTAAAGGAATAATAACAGTAAAATTCCTAAACCTAGAGTAAGGTATCTGTATCCAAGTACAAGAAGGTTATAGAACTCCAAGCAGATTTAACCCAAAGAAGCCTTCCTCAAGTTATTTAATGATGAAACTCCCAAAGATCAAGAATAAAAAAAGCACCTAAAGGCAGCAAGAGAAAATAAGTCACATACAATGGAGCTTCATTATGTCTGGCAACAGACGTTTTAGTGGAAATCTTACCAGCAGAGAGTGACATGACATCCTTGAAGTACTGAAGGAAAAAACAAAACAAACAAAACATTTACCCTAGAATAGCATGCCAAGCAAAAATACCCTTTAAGCATGGAGAAATACTTTCCCAGAGAAACAAAATCTGAGGGATTTCGTCAACAACAGACCTGTCCTACAAGAAATGCTAAACAAAGTGCCTCAGTCAGAAAGAATATGATGCTAATGAGCAATAAGAAATCATCTGAAGGTACAAAACTTACTGGTAATAGTAAGTACACAGAAAACAGAGAATAACACTGTCACTGTGGTATATAAACTACTCTTACTCTAAGTAGAAATACTAAATGAACTAATCAAAAATAATAATTACAAGTTTTGAAGACCTAGATAATACAATAAGATAGAAACAACAAAGTTAAGGTGTGGGATAATGAAGTTAAGGCATAGAATGTTTACTGATTTACTTTTTCCTTGTCTGTTTATTGATGCAAACTGTGTTAAGTTGTTATCTGCTTAAAATTATGGGTTATAAGATAGCATTTGTAAGCCTCATGGTAACCTTAGCCAAAAAAAAAAAAACACCACATACAATGAATACACGAAAATAAAACATAAGAAGCTAAATGATCCCACTAGAGAAAATCACTTTTACTTAAAAGAAGACAGGAAGGAAAGAAGAGAAGACCATAAAGCAACCAGAAAACACAATTGCAGGAGTAAGTCCTTATTTGTCAATAATAACATTGAATGTAAATGGACTATACTCTCCAATCAAAAGTAATCCATTTGCTGATTGGATTAAAAACAAAAAACAAGACCGAATGATCTGTTGCCTATCAGAAACACACATCACCTATAAAGACATGCATAGACTGAAAATAAAAGAATGGAAAGTCTTATTCCATGCCAATGGAAACCAAAAGAGAGTAGGAGTAACTTTCAAAATAATAGCTTTCAAAACAAAATAGCTTTCAAAACAAAAATATAAGAAAGAGAATATCACTGCATCCATCTGGATTTTCTCTTAGACAATTTCTATTGCCCATTTTTTTTTTTCATTTTGTATGAGTCAAAACTTCCTGTTTATTTGCATGTTTTATATTTTTGTGTTGTAAATGGGATATATTCTACCAACTCTGGTTTCTGACAACACCCTTCATCCCACCCCAGTCTTCTTGTTGTTGTTTGTTCACTTATTTGTTTAGTGACTTTCTTGGACTTACTCTGTGATGTCTATTTGTAACATGATATGAAGTCTCAGATATCCCTGCCTAGATACTTTTTTTTTTCTGTTTTGATCTTTAGTCCTAGATTTCTAGGGATTGACCCTGTGTCAGCAAGCTTAGTGATCAGTCAGTGGTTGGCCAGAGGTTGTCATTAAGCATTTTAAACCAGCAAGGTTTTTACCCTTTACTGTTGATTCTGTGTGTGGCTTGGAGACTGCTTTCACAGTTCAAGGAGCTTGAGGTTGCCTCATATTCAGCCAAAGACTAGATAATTGTTATTTTTCTCTTCAGGCATTCCTCAGAGCATGCAGCCTTGGGCATATGCCTAGTATTCTGGACCACTAGTGATGACTGGTTTTTATGGCATTCTCTTTGTCTTTTTTTTCTGATCTCCCCGATAATGGCTCTTGGCTTCTATTTGTATTATACCAAACTCTTAGTCTCCACTGATTGCTGTTAGTTCTGTTGTTTTTTAATAATAATCTGGAGCATAAATTGCCCTGCACTTTGATCCAGATAAAGTCTAATTTCTTAGCAATGTTAGGGTGTTGCCAGTTTTCAGGCTTGATCCAATTCTCCCCTGGGAAGAACCCTTGCCAAATCTAACTGGGATACACTTTTGCACCATATATTTGGGGGATATGTAGTATTCCACTTGGATGTTTTGACTACTAGACCAGCTCTTCAGTTACACAGAGCTATGAGGGAGTAGGAGATTGGACTTATCACCAGCAGCTGTCCTGTCTGAATCCTCTCTATGGGGCACAAGCTTTGGTTGAGAAAGCGTATCCCCCAGTTTTCACCATCTGCCAAATCCATCTGGAATATCTCTTTTAGCTAAGGGAACTGGGAAAGATGG